AAGCATTGTATTGCAAGATGTCATGCAAGGAGAATGGATACCTAATGCTTAAGACTAGAACTCCCCAGTGGCTCACAGGCAAAGGTTTTTAAAGATAGGGGCACATTTGAGGAAAGCAGAAGTTGCAGGCAAAATTGTAAAACAGTACATGGAGGTTATGTATTGGTTTGGGATATCTTGAAGCAGGAGCTTATTGGTCATTGGTGGATTTGGAGATGACTTTATTAGCTAAAGTGATATCAAGCTGATTGTGACGCTCTTTATCTAAGCCCTTCAGAGAGAAATTTAAGGAATAAAACTGTGATCAGAGTTCAATTCTTCAGTTCCATCCTATCTGCATATTTCAAGGGGTGGGGGTTCTGAGAAACAACTCCATAACATATGTTAAGAGGTTATCCTTTAGTTTGCAGAGGGAGCTGAAACACCTAATGACTCTGGCTTGCTTGGAGGACTGTAGTTTTTATTCTCTTTTGCTCATCAAGTTGCCTGCTCACTTTTCAAGGCTGCTTACGTAGGTGTCCATAATTGTGTAATAAAAGAGTTTTGTTTCTGTGCCACCAATGTGGAGAGTTTTTCTGGGATTGGAAATAATTTTTTTTTAATTATAATTCTCAAACATTGTTTAGAATTTCCAGACATAATACAAACCTATGAGGTGCCCACCAGGCTTTTCTCTTTTGAGACTGAGTTTCACTCTGTCATCCAGGCTACAGTACAGTGGTATCAGTTTAGCTCACAGAAACCTCAAATTCTTGCGCTCAAGTAATCCACCTGCCTCAGCCTCCTGAGTAGCTGGGACTACAGGTACGCACCACCACAGCTGGCTACTTTTTTCTACATTCAGTAGAGATACGATCTTGCTCTTGCAAGAAGAGTGGTGAGAAGCCTAGGGCTCTCTCCCCGCCCCAACCTGCCCAGATCCACCCTCTTCAGAGCCGTGTCTAGGTTGGTCCAATATTGGATTCTCCCTGCACAAAAGTTATTAGAGTGTTATATTTGAGATTTGCAGGGCTGCAAGACAGAGAGACAGAGTCACCGAGGCTGTAATTATCAAAAGGAGTTTTATTGTCTACCTTGAGCTAGGGTCTGAGCCCCCAGAGTGCCAGCGCAGTGGCCCTTTTTTTGGGCAGGGACTCTCTTTTGTGTGTTAGTAACCCTTTTATAACTAAGTTGTTTATATACTGATCATGCATTTGCCCCCACAGTAATTTTTACTTTATCTTGCTCTTGATAGCCTTTAAACTGTTTTGGGTTTTAGCTAAAAAACTCTAGGGTTTTTTTTTGTTTTGTTTTGTTGTTTTTTTACCTCTTATAATATACTCATAATGCCTTACAGTTAGCAAACAAGCAATAAACAAAAGCTAAAAGGTGTTTATTGTTTTTTTTAGCCCAATATCTTATAGAGGAGACCGGAGTTTTGCATGGCTTCTCCTGCTGTCTCCCCAGAGCTGGTGCTTACAATTTTCTCAAACCCAAAAGCAGATAAGTAAGGGCAAAAGACTATTATATTGGGGCCATAATTTCTTTATTTTTATTAAAATCTGGGTCTTTAGAGAAACAACCCAGCAACGTGCTTTGTATTCCTTTACATATGTGGTTGCTCCACAAGTTACAACACAGTAAATATAAACACAATGAAAAATCCCTCTGAACTACAGTCCACTTCTCCTTTATCTCTTCCATTTGTTTATATTTAGGTTTTATTCTATAAATTTTCCTCTTAAAATCAATGATGATAAAAGAAACAGGATGGGCCTTTCACCTAAAGCCTGGAAATTATGAGGCATTTAGTAGCCACCTCCCAGAGTATTATGAAAATTAACTCCCAAACTTTGAGTTTGCCAGCACTGTAACACAGGGGTCCTCAAACTGCAGCCAGCGGGCCACATGCAGCCTGCACAATTTGTTCCCGTTTTGTTTTTTTACTTCAAAATAAGATATGTGCAGTGTGCATAGGTATTTGTTCATTGGTATTTTTTTTAAAACTATACGCCGGCACTCCAACGGTCTGAAGGATAATGAACTGGCCCCTGTTTAAAAAGTTTGAGGACCCCTGTATTACAATGTAGTAATATACAAATAGAATTTACAAAAATGGTCCCTGGTGCCAAGAGGGTTGGGGACCACTGCTGCAACATACTTGTGAACACATCGTACATGCTCAGTAAATATCGCATTAAGGCATGGCACACGTTGTTTTCCAAATGCAGACTTATTCAGACACTGCTGCCTTCTCTAGCCTATGTAAACTTTTAATAGAATGCCATGCTTCAGGATGGCAATTGGGGGTCTTCACTTTGGACCAAAAGTATTTTTGCCATAAGAGTGCTGGGTGTAATGTAATGCTCTCTGTGTCCTGCACCTACTGGGTCTAGCTGAGTGCTACTGATAGTGGGTCTAGGGTGAGCAACATCAGCATTCACAGGGGAATTTTTCAAGGAGCCAATTCATAGACCCCTTCCATGGCTGCAGAATCACATTACTTAGAGTGGGCTCCAGATTACCAAATGATTTATAGGCACATTCTAAGAGATTCTCCATCCAGGCTTCTAATTAGAAGCAAAACTTGCTGGTGAAGGTGCCAGAGGAGGGTACCTGAGGGTAGGAAAGAAAAATCTCAAATTTTGAACTTTATGTAGGACCTCATTGCTCCTGAGTCTCTCCTGTGATAAAGGACAGGGAGGTGTGAATTTTTTCTGCACTCTGCGGACCTTCTGCTGTGGATGTAGTGGTAGCAGGGGAAAGGGTTGTGCTGACAGCTTTACATGCATATTTTCAAGATAGATGTGTGATTTTTCCAGATAATCTTAACCAAGAAGGAATTTCAGAAAAGGAGGAAGAGAAAGAAATGGTTGTTTCTCAGGTGAATGTGTCCCAGATCAGGGGTGTGTTCACTTTTCCTCTTGAAATGTCATGTGTTTAGACTCTGCAAACCTTTGTTTCCTCCTTTGTTTTTCTTACCTAATGTGTTCATTTCAACTACTTTTTTCTCTTTTTTCTTAATAATAGTCAAGAAGCTCTGAAAAACTCTTTTCTCCTATATACAAGAGCCTCCTCTCCATCCAGGCTTCTTATACACCATAAAGAATTGTCACCATAAATTTATAACCTGCAATATTAAAAATACTCCCTTTGTAGCTGTTGAACATCTTGGAAGCAGAATCTTGGATGCCCAAGATTACTCTTAGAGATGAGTTCAGTCCCTAGGATATCAGTGAAGAAGGGGAACCTGTACCATTCAGGTTCTATCTAGATGCTCCATCAGTTCTGTGCAGAACAAGATTCACAGAATACACATTAAGTTTTCAGAATAACTCAGAAACTTCTGAGAAAGAAAAATTAGAAGAGACTTGCTCTCTAGGATACTAAAGAAAGACTATTTAAATATATTATTAGAGATTACAGAACATGAGAGATATCTGTAGCTTGAACTTTGCATAAAACTGATATTCATGATTAGATTCAGATTATGGTTTACTTTCTTCCTTTGGCCCAAAATATGAAAATATCACAGCAGTGATGGTGTGTCTGTGTGAATAGGCACCTGATAGTGATTTGTTGTATTATAGTTGAGGTTAATTTTATTTACTTGGTTAACATATTCTGTATCATTTTGTTCATAGAGAGTTAATTATTTTTCTCTTAATTATTAAGTACCTTGGGAAGCTTTACCTAATGATGGGCATAAACCATCACATTTTATCTGTAAGCTCCCGTTTTCTTTTTAGATTCCCTTTGCATATAACCTGCTTTGGAAAATAAAGGCTCTCATCTTTCTTTCCTGGTTAGATGAACTGAGATAAAGGCAGGCTCTGCTGCTTACTGATTGTTTGAAAACTATTCCCTTTCAGCCAGAAGCATTGATTGACTGCTGAGCTTGTTAGAAATTAACAAACTCAGGCCTCATCCTAGGTTTTTAGAATCAAAATCTGTATTTTAACAGGATTTCTAGTTCATTGTTGCACGTACTGAAGACTTTGCAAAATTTAAGAAGTATTAACACCTTCTAACTCAACATGACTCTTTTACGTGAAAAAATATTCACCACTTATCCTGTATGATGTATATAGTATGAGCAAATATAGTACTCAAAAATATAAATGCCTGTGTTGGTAACTTGAATTTTATACCTTATCTTTCAGAAAACTATAATATCTACACGAGTTTTGTGGACCTTATGTCATCGTCTCTCCCCAGAGTCAGATAACACATTAGAGAATATTTTTATGTTAAAAATTGTCTTTTTGCATAATTCTAGTTATTTATATGAGTCAGAACCAGTAGTCTTCACTCTGTTATTTCACCAACAGTGAAATGAAGAATTCTCCACATGATCACTTGGTAATATGTGTTTTGTTTTTTTCAGGGAATGTTGACATTCAGGGATGTGGCCATAGAATTCTCTCTGGAGGAGTGGGCATGTCTTGACAATGCTCAGCAGAATTTGTATAGGGATGTGATGTTAGAGAACTACAGAAATTTGGTGTTCGTGGGTAAAGATCATTTCAATACATAATTTTTATTCCCCACTAAGAATTTTATATTCTACCTTTGCAGAATTTTTCTGGGATTTTCTGCTTTGCATGAGTGAAGTTCAGATGTTTGTTTCCAAGGAAAAATTGGGATTTGTTGGTATAGGAAAGAAAATCTTCAATCTGTTTTATCTTGACATTAATCTTTCTCTTTCCTGAACTGATCTGTATCCTTCACTCTTTGTTAGTGGTAATTCCAAAAATTTAGTGGCATAAGATGTTGCTCACAGCTTAAAATCCAATTTCCACCACCAATATTTGATTCCACAGTATTGGGTAATGGAGCTAAGGACCCCCCAAATTTTAAATACTTTCTAAATATTCTAAAGTGTCTGTTAGGAATTAGTATTTTGGGATTAATTTTTTTTAGAATCTTCTATACTGTTCCCATTTCTCTACTGAGCACAGTACTCGATTGGTAATGGAAGTATCCCCAAAATGTCATGTTACTTTTTAAAAATAAAACAGGTTTTGCTGCCTCTAAGCCAGACATGATCACCTGCCTGGAACAAAAAAAAGAGCCTTGGGATGTGAAGACAAAGGAGCCAGTAGCCAAACACCCAGGTAGGTGGGAGTGAATGAAGCAGATGACACAGGCGAGGTGTGCAAAGGTCAAGGAGGAAGCCAGACCTTGAAAAGTGGTTTGGAAAACTCTGCTTCCATGGAAATGGGTTCTGGGAAGCCTAGGTTTCTTTCTCTTAATCTTCAATAGAGGCTTCTCTGTCCCTTATTCTTAAATTATCTAAGGACTTTATTTTTCTTTATTGTTCTTTTAAGGTTAGAGTGAGAACAAAAGCCCTGCTCATGGTTTATAAGGGACTGCAGGTACTGACTGCTTTCCATTACATTACAGGACATGGAAATATGTGTGTATTTTTTTTTTTTTTTTTGAGACAGAGTCTCACTTGTTGCCCAGGCTAGAGTGAGTGCCGTGGCGTCAGCCTAGCTCACAGCAACCTCAAACTCCTGGGCTCAAGCGATCCTTCTGCCTCAGCCTCCCAAGTAGCTGGGACTACAGGCATGCGCCACCATGCCCAGCTAATTTTTTCTAGATATATTATTTGGCCAATTAATTTCTTTGTATTTATAGTAAAGACGGTGTCTCGCTCTTGCTCAGGTTGGTTTCGAACTCCTGACCTCGAGCAATCCGCCCGCCTCAGCCTCCCAGAGTGCTAGGATTACAGGCATGAGCCACCGCGCCCGGCTATGTGTGTATTTTTGAGAAAATCTAATGTAAAGCATTTTACTGAGACAGAGTCTCACTCTGTCAACGTGGGTAGAGTGCAGTGGCATTATGGAAGCTCACTGTAGCGTCAGACTCTGGGGCTCAAGTGATCCTCCTGCCTCAGCCTCCTGAGTAGCCAGGACTAGCGGTGTGTGCCACAGTCCCTGGCTAATTTTTCTATTTTTAGTAGAGACGGGGTCTTACCCTTGCTCAGGCTGGTCTTGAACTGCTGAGCTCAAGTAATCTTCCATCCTTGGCCTCCCAGAGTGGTAGGATTACAGGCATGAGACACCACAACTGTCTGAAAACCATTTTTAAATTTCTCTATTTATTGCATCATGTCTGGAATGTGTGAGTGTGGTGGTGATATTGGTATTTAGTTCAGAAATCCCAGGGTCACCACAAGCAGATGTTACATGTTTTCTGCTCTGATTTGTTATCCTGTGACAGTATTAAATGTATTTCTACCCAAATTCATACTCATTATGAGAACACTGAATATCTGTCTAAATATAAGAAACTATAATGTTATTTTACTTCAAAATTCTGTTTTGATTGTGAACTCTGATTAATTACTGAACTCTCTATGCCAAATTTCTCCACTTTAATATAGTTTAATGTGTCCCTACATTTCTTGAATATGTTTGGGGCACTTAGAACATTGCTGAGTATGCATTAACCTCCCACTTTTTACTTCTACCAACTCTAATTCTGTAATTTTCTCTTCTTTAGTATGAAGCTTACTGGGGCTGTGTCATCGACAGGTTTATATGTGTGTGTGTGTGTGATATGAATTTTCTTCACAAATAAAAGTCGTGTAACTATAATTATTATGTAGAATGTAATGATTTGATGTTTATATGTTTTGAAATGATTAACACAACCAAGTTAATACAAATTATATCACCTCACGGTTACCTATTTTGTGTGTGTGTGTGTGTGGTGAGAATACTTAAGGTCTGTAGTCAGTAAATTTGAAGATGAAAACATTTCATTAGCTATAAACAACACGGTATATATACATCAGGCGAACAAAACTTACTGATCTTGTAACTTAATATTTGTACCTTCGAACAACATTTTTGCATTTTTCCTTACTTCAGGCCCTGGCAACTAGCCTTGTAATCTCTGCTTCTATGAGTTTAACTTTTTTAGATTTCCCACGTAGGTAAGATTATGCAGTATTTACCTTTGTGTGCCTGAATAATTTCAGTTAGCATAATGTTCTTCTAGGTCCATCTATGTTGTAGAAATGATTGAATAATATTTATATAGCCGAGTGATATGCTATTTTGCATATGTACCTTGTTTTCTTTATCTATTTAGCATTTAAAATATTTAGGTTGTTTTCATATCTTGGCAATTTTGAATAATATTGCAATAATCATGAGGATGCAGATATTTCTTGAAGCTACTGATTTTTTTTTTTTTTTTTTTTTTTGAGACAGAGTCTCACTTTGTTGCCCAGGCTAGAGTGAGTGCCGTGGCGTCAGCCTGGCTCACAGCAACCTCAATCTCCGGGGCTCAGTGATCCTTCTGCCTCAGCCTCCCGAGTAGCTGGGACTACAAGCATGCGCCTCCATGCCCGGCTAATTTTTTTTTTTTTTTTGTATATATATTTTTAGTTGGTCAATTAATTTCTTTCTATTTTTGGTAGAGACGGGGTCTTGCTCAGGCTGGTTTCGAACTTCTGACCTTGAGCAATCCGCCCGCCTCGGCCTCCCAAAGTGCTAAGATTACAGGCGTGAGCCACAGCGCCCGGCCCGAAGCTACTGATTTTATATCCTTTGGTTATATACATAGAAGTAGGGGTATTGCATTGTATGGTAGTCGTTTCTTTGATTGTTTAAAGAATTTCCATACTGGTTTTCATAATTTACCAATTTATACTTACCAACTGGCTACAGAATTTCTTTTTTGTCACTTTTTAAAAAATATTTATTCATTTATTTAGAGAAAGAGTCTTGCTTTGTTGCCCAGGCTAGGGTGAGTGCCATGGCATCAGCCTAGCTCACAACAACCTCAAACTCCTGGTCTCAAGTGATCCTCCTGCCTTCAGCCTTCCGAGTACCTGGGACTACAGGCATGTGTCACCATGCCCGGCTAATTTTTTCTAGATATATTATTTGGCCAATTAATTTCTTTGTATTTATAGTAAAGACGGTGTCTCGCTCTTGCTCAGGTTGTTTTCGAACTCCTGACCTCGAGCAATCTGCCTGCCTCGACCTCCCAGAGTGTTGTCCCATTCTTGTTATAGCTTATTTCTTCCTTTTGATGAAAGCCATCCTAACAAGTATACAGTGATATCTCATCATGATTTTGATTTGCAATTCTCTGATGATTTGTGATATCCAGATATTATTGCTGATATTCATATACTTGTTGGTCATTTATTTGTATGACTTCATTTGGAAGATAAAAATTCAGTCTTTTACCTATATTTCAAACAGGTTAATATCATTTTCATTTTTAACTTTGATTTGGGTAAGTTTCTTATATAATTTGGATATTAACCTCTTATCAGATATATCGTTTGCAAATTTTTTCTTGTGTCGGAAAGTATTCTTTTTTTATTGTTTCCTTTGTGCAGAAGCTTTTTAATATATTGCTGTCCAACTTGTTTTATACTTGTTTTTGTTTTTATACCTTTGTTGTCACAGCTAAAAAATTTATTAGTAACAACAGTACCAAGAAGGTTTTATAAGTGTTTTAAGATTTTAAAGGATTGATGTCTTGAACAAGACTTTTTATTTTATTCTGAGTAAATTTTTGATAGTTGTGTAACAAAAATTGTCTAATTTTATTTTTTTTTGCTTATGGATTTCCAGTTTTCCTAGCCCCTATACTTTTTGCATTTTGTAGTCTTGTTGTCCCTGTCAAAGACTATTTTGCCTTGTATCTATGGGCTTATTTCTGAGCTCTCTATTCTGTTACATTGGTTGTTGTGTCATTTCTAATGCACTTAGTCATCTGTGTTTCTTACTATATTTTGCAATACGGTTTGAAATCAGAAAGTATGATGTCCCCTGCTTTTTTATTCTTCCAGAAGAAAACGAGAATATCCCTTGGATATCCAAAATGTTTTGTAGTTAACCAGAAAAATAGGAGTGTGTTTTTTATTTTTATGATAAATGCCATTGGAATTTTGATAGGGAGTTTATTAAATCTATATATCACTCTGGATTATATGGCAGTTTAATAGTATTTACTCTTGTAATCCATAAACACGGGATATTTTTACATTTATGTCATCTTCAATTTTTCTCATTGATATATTTTTCATTGTAAACCCTTTTTAACTCCTTGGTTAAATTTATTGGTAAAAAAATCATTATTTTTTGCTATCATGTAAGTGAGATTATTTTGTTCCTTATTCTATTGGATAGTTTGGTTTTAGTGTATTAAAACACTGATATTTTCATGTTTATTTAATATTCTGCAGATTTATCGGTGCATATTGTAGTTTAAACAGGTTTTCTTTGGTATACTATTTATGGTTTTCTATATATATGAGATCATGCCAACTATATACTGACTTTTTTAATTGTTTCTTTTCTATTTGGACACATTTTAACAAATATTCTTGCCTAATAGTTCTGCCTAGGATGTCTAGTACTATGCTAAATTGAAGCATTGAATATGGTCATAATATAGCTTTGTATCGGTGCCCTTGTATTTAAAGGAATAAGCACATCTTCCAGTTTTTATAAGTTGGTTTCAGCAGGTAAAGATTTTCCCTTGTTGGGTACCCAGGATGATGGGAATTTTTCTGGGTTTGCAGTTAAAAGGGGTTGTAGCTGGGTCACAAGTCTGCTGCTGGGTATGTAGTGAGGAATGCCTTTAGTATGGGCCTGTTACCAGGAGCTTGGGTAGTTGTGAATCCTGTCTTATTAATGGGCAGAGAGGATTGCCTTCATGACTTTGGTCTGTAGGGCAGGCATTTACAGTTGAGTCTGCATAGGTGCTTGGTCTGATACCAGGTTTCTTAAAGCTGAATAGTTCTCCATAGTATACATATACCACAATTTATTAATTCACTCATGTATTGATGGATACCTGGGTTGTTTCCACACCTTTGCGATTCTGAACTGTGCTACTGTAAACATTCGAGTGCAGGTGTCCCATTTGTAGAGTGTCATTTGATTTTTTGGGTAGATGCCGAGTAGTAGGATTGCTCCATCAAATGGCGGATCTACTTGCATCGCTTTAAGGTATCTCCATATTGCTTTCCACAGAGACTGAACCAGTTTGCAGTCCCACCAGCAGTGTAGGAGTGTTCCTATCTCTCTGCATTCACGCCAACATTTATTGTTTGGGGACTTTTTGATAAAGGCCATTC